ATATTTTGTATATGTGATGTAAACATGCACACATGCATACACACACACACACACACACACACCCCACTGGTTCTCTTTCTCTGGAATATCCTGACTGATGCATCTCTTAAAATATTCACTCCCAGAACTGCCCAATGATTGGTACTTGCGAGGGTGCCCTTGCTGGTATAGATAGTATGAGCTCAGTTGGAGTGTGGACTTTCACATCGATGTTGGATACAGTTTTCCCAGGATCACCTTAAGCCTCACCCTAGCTCCTTCCACTCCTAAAAATCCTCTCTGGAGGGACCACCATGATTTTGTTTGGTTTCGACACCAACATCACTCTTATACTTCTAGATGGAATAGTCCCTCACTTGACCAAACAGCAATCAGGGCAGCTTCAAGGTTTGTACTATAGCTCCTTCAACCTATGTCTTCTTTCATGTGGATCCTAGAATTGATTGATAGAGTCCCTTTTATGCATTCTCAGTGAGAGACCCAAGAACTGGAATGTGTGGAGGTTGACTTCATTTTTTCCTCAGGAATATGACTACATAGTCCTTTAAATCCCCCCAAATACTTAATATTATAGAAGGTCTTTCACCTTCAGAAATGTCTCAACTAGAAGTGGGCCCAAGTCTCAGTCAATAACACTCCCAGGCTTCAGAGGACACATCAACCCCTCCTTCCCCACAGCAAGGAAGAGGACTTGCTACCATCATTAGCTAGCTAGCCAATATTATTAATAACAAAGGAGCAAAGGGGAAGCCAGACATGATAAGCCTGGTTGTCTAGGCAGCTTCACCAGGAACTGCAACTTTACACTCCCCAGGGAACCATCGGTCCATTCCTTGCAAATAACTGGGAGAAGGAATCAAGTAAGGGGGAAGGTGGGTGCATGCACAGTGAAGTCGGGTGACACAAGGAAGGTACTTGCCTGTCAGTCTAATCCAGGAACAGATCTTTGGCTACACGGACGGAACCCAGTGCAGGCCTGTGAGAAGCTGGGAATACATGTTCCCCAGACAAAGCGATTCCCTCTCTCATTCCATTTGCTTCACTTCTGCTTCCTTGCACTTGGCCGTCTCCCTTCATGACTATATGGCCCTTGATATGGAGCAGGAACTGTGGGCAGTGGCTTTGATTCTGGCCCTGCTGAAAACAAAATGGGACTTTCCCATGGTGGGAGAAAGGGAGATGGTGTCTTGGAAACTCCGGGCTTTAACTCCACAGAAATAAAACACATCATCCTGTGGGGGCCTCAGGAAATTCTTCTCAAGAAGCCCACTTCCACCAGCAACAGGTGGGGACACAGATAACAGAATAACAAGAGTAAGCGTCTACAGTGTGAACATAGTGCCTAGTGTTGTGCTCCCCACGAGGTGCTTAGCCCTGCTCCCGAGACGAGGACACTGTTCCCTGAGCCCTCTCAGCAGGGCAAATTCCTGTCGCCCAGTAAGTGGGGGTCGCACTTTGGGCAGCTGCACAGAACACAGCTGGAACACAGATGCCAACTTCCCCTTCCTTCAGTCAACTAAGCTCAAGGAGGAAAAAGTACACCTCTCCCTCCCTCCACAACAGTGTGGTAGCTTTTCTGTTAGCACTTCGCTCCACAGTAACACAACTTCTCTCCTCCCCTCCCAGTTTCTCATCCTATTAGTGTGCTGTGAGGTGTCTGACCCATTTCTGGCTCACTGACCAGTTTCATTGAAGATGAATGTGGCAGTTTTTATCCTCAGTTTGGGGTCTTAACTGCAATTCTGGGACAACAGTTTGTCCCACTGGACATTTTGCTACATATACAAATATGCCTTAGACCTAACATAAACATATTGAATAATGATTTTGATAGATCTTTTATAGTTTATAAGCAGAGTGCTGTGTTGTCGCTGACGAGCATGAGAAGTAACCCGTGTCTGTCCCTGAGCGGTGCTGGGCATGGCGAAGAGAAGTGGGCTTTGGGCCCTGGTAGGTGTGCCGGCCAAATCAGGACCTGTAGGAGCAGGTGAAGTGAATATTTTGCAGCTTTCACCAGCAATTCCTATAATGGAAGAGAAGATTGGGGATCGCAAAATGAAGACTGTGGTTTCCTTGTCTACATTGATCTTACTCACCAGATAACTGCTTGGCACCTTCATTTTGTTTTAGTGAGCATCACCTAAAATAGCAGTTTCTAGCTAACTGCCTGGGGGTCTGTTTTTATGTTCCTTTGATATGCAAATAGTCAGCTACCTCACAATTAAAGTTTCATGCCCTGACCAGTAAATAAATTGGGCAAACAAGATGAGGCAAAACAAGGCAATATAGCAAATGTGAATGTAATTGTGTGAGAAAAAAAAAGCCTTGTCTTTTATTCTGTTCCTGAGAACCCATTGCCATAGCAACACATTAAGTTCTTTTCTTACATCTTTAGGCAACATGAAGTGGTATAATCGATATCAAGTATTGAAACTCACTGGGGTATTAACAATAACATTGCACTTAACAAGACAACACAATAAACAGGTCCACCTGCTAAATATACCTAATGCAGTTTATGTTTCCAGGAAGCACAAATGTCTTCTAGAATTTTTCTTAGTTCTGCTGTTTCATTGTGGGAAATGTAAAGTTCAAGTATCAACTTCCTTTACAGGAAACAGAGTTCACTGCACAGCAGGTTGTGGAGGGCGTCAGATAAGAAAACTGGTTTCTTTCCTCCTTCTCTGTCTGTCAAACATCTGTCATCAATCCTCACTGTCTTTTCTGAGGATTTATCTCCCCATAAAACTGAATCAAAAAACTAGAATCTCTCAATATAGTAGTCACTAGTCATGCCTCTGAGTACTTGAAATGTGGCTAAACCCCACTGAGATGTGCTACAAATATAAAACACACATTAAATTCTAAGTAATCAGCACAGAAAAAAATTATGTAAATTATTTTGTTAATGATGTTTATATTGATTACATATTAAAGTAACATGTTGGATATAATGGCCCTCTTCTTACCTTTTAAATGTGCCTACGAGAAAAAGAATGTGCATTTGTGGCTCACTGTCTATCTCTGCTGGGCAGCAGTGCCCTGGGGCTGAACGCATGTCACCCATCCAGGGACGACAACCCAATCATTTCTCCACTTCTCCCTGAACGACTCCTTTTCCACTCCGTGTTCCTGCCCTCTCTGCTTCCTTGTTATTTACTTTGTTTCTTGTTGCTATTTTCCCCCTTATTTATTCTATTTCTCTCTCTGAGATTTGAAATAGAGAGAAAGGGGAAGGTCCTGCTTAGAGAGAGGAGGAAAGAAGGGCGATGAAGTGGGAAGGGATCTGTGGTTCACCATCTGTTCTGTACATACGTGTCCATCCACCTTGAAAGTTGGCCCTAGAAAGAACTAAAGAGGGGCAACCATGGTTTTCAGCGACTCACCCCTCATTCTCTGAGGGACATCTCTAATCGTGACGTTTCCCTGAGATGAAGTATGCTCTTTCCTCAGGAGGGAGCAAGTAGACAGCTACTTTTACAAACCCTCGCTCCTCCAGCTGGACTTGTCCCTCAGGTCAAGCCACTAATTTGGTTGTTGAGACTAGGGGAAGCCTAAAAGTCATTGGACTGCAATAAAAAAAGGGTGGGGTCACTACATTAAGCTGTGGGCACCTGTTTCTGTCACCACATGGCTCATTCTCTCTCTTGACTTCTTAGACATTTTATTGTAGCCTGAAAAATGCCACACACCCCAAAAAAGTCCAAATTCGAATCCCTGGGATCCATGAGTTTTTACTTTACATGGTAAAAGAAACTTTGCAGATGTGATTAAGTTAAGGATCTGGAGACAGGGGGATTACCTTGGATTACCTAGGTGTGCCCAGTGTAATTCAGGGGTTTTTCTAAGAGTGAGGCAAGAGGTTCTAAGTCAGAGAGAAGGTACTATGATGATGGTAGAAGAGGGGCATGTGGGCCAAGCAAAGTGGGTAGCCTTTAGAAGCTGGGGTACAAACAAAAAAACAGGAAATGGATCCATCCCAGAGCCTTCAGAAAGAACAGCCCCACCAACACCTTCATGTTTGTTGGTCTGCGGAGAATGATATCAGACTTTCAGAACGTAAAATAAGCAAGCTGTATTGTTTAAGTCGGAAGGTCTGTGGTAATTTGTTGTAGCAGTCATAGAAAACTGATATAACCTGAAAAGGCCAGGCACAGCGACTCTTTCAGGCAGGCCCTAAGTGGTCGGACCAGTCCGGCTTCAGCTCCGCTCCCCAAAACTAGTGTGCAAACCAAACCTGTGAGGCTTCGAAGGGTTCGATGGAAAGGAAGTACCGTTATATTCGTCACTCTGGCCATTCCAGAAGGGCCCTGATAAATCCCATCCTTTCCCTGCTTTGCCCCGTTCTCTGTGTCCATTCGTCAGAACTCCGAAGGCAGAGGGGTGCGGAGGGACTTGAGAGGGAAGCCTGTTCCAGGTCTGTGACATCATGGTGAAGCTTGTTTTCAGAGACATGAATTCAGTAACTGCAGGTTCTGGTCCCAGTGCTGTCCCAAGCCTCCCTGCTCACCTGCCTCAACCCTGCTCTCACGCGCCCCGTGGCTACGCTCATAACTCAAGACTACACGCACTTATGGGGGCTGCCGGGTGCCCTGCTCTGTGACAGGCATCATGGTGGTGTGGTGTTTACAGCACATTGCTGCTTCCTCATGGAGACGCTTACAGAAAGCAAGTCTACATGGATAACATGGGACATGTGCAGTTTCTCTGGCTATGTTAGAAAATGAACAGGTCAGACAAAAATGCATTATACTTTGTTAGAACTTTATTAGTTCATGATTATAGTAATTATCACCTATTCTGTCACTTGAAAAATTTAAAGCAGCTTGATAATTATCATTATTAAAAATACAAATATAGTTCTTTACAACTTACAGAGTAAATTTACATATATATGATTTTGTGAAACTGAAAATAAAATCTCCGTTTGGCATGAAGACATGAGTATTTGAGAAGTTTATGTGGTTCCCCAAAGTTTTGTAGAGCATATTGGATAAAGTCTACAGTAGAGCCCAGATCCTCTGGACTCCAGGCCCTGCCTCGTCTTTTCTCAGTTGCACAGTAGACATTTCCTGTGCGACTTCCTGTGCAGTTCGGCGCTGAGGCTGCAGGCGGCCCTGAGGCTGCAGGCGGCGCTGAGGCTGCAGGCGGCGCTGAGGCTGCAGGCGGCCCTGAGGCTGCAGGCGGCGCTGAGGCTGCAGGCGGCGCTGAGGCTGCAGGCGGCCCTGAGGCTGGAGGCGGCCCTGAGGCTGCAGGCGGCGCTGAGGCTGCAGGCGGCGCTGAGGCTGCAGGCGGCGCTGAGGCTGGAGGCGGCCCTGAGGCTGCAGGCGGCCCTGAGGCTGCAGGCGGCCCTGAGGCTGCAGGCGGCGCTGAGGCTGCAGGCGGCCCTGAGGCTGCAGGCGGCCCTGAGGCTGCAGGCGGCGCTGAGGCTGCAGGCGGCCCTGAGGCTGGAGGCGGCCCTGAGGCTGCAGGCGGCGCTGAGGCTGGAGGCGGCCCTGAGGCTGGAGGCGGCGCTGAGGCTGGAGGCGGCCCTGAGGCTGCAGGCGGCCCTGAGGCTGCAGGCGGCGCTGAGGCTGGAGGCGGCGCTGAGGCTGCAGGCGGCCCTGAGGCTGGAGGCGGCCCTGAGGCTGCAGGCGGCCCTGAGGCCGGAGGCGGCGCTGAGGCTGCAGGCGGCCCTGAGGCTGGAGGCGGCCCTGAGGCTGCAGGCGGCGCTGAGGCTGGAGGCGGCCCTGAGGCTGCAGGCGGCCCTGAGGCTGCAGGCGGCGCTGAGGCTGCAGGCGGCCCTGAGGCTGGAGGCGGCCCTGAGGCTGCAGGCGGCGCTGAGGCTGCAGGCGGCGCTGAGGCTGCAGGCGGCCCTGAGGCTGCAGGCGGCCCTGAGGCCGGAGACGGCGCTGAGGTTGGAGGAGGCACTGAGGCTGGTAAAACTTATCCATAACCACAGCACAAGTCACCATGTTGCTGCAGCCTCCCAGCTTCTGAGGAGCGTTAGGTCATAGGCCTTAATTCATACAGAACTGATACTTCGGGGAGGGTAACAGGTTAAACAACTGGGCCTTTAGACTATAATAACAGAGAAACAAAATTTGAGTAAAAAAACAATACTGAAAATCTAGGTCAAATTCTCAAAACACCAGGAACAAAAAAATGAACAGGTGCTAAAATAAGCACAAGCATGTCCCAACACAAACTGCCATGATTGTTGAATTGAATGTCTTTTTTGTAATTCAGTTCTCCTATAACATACACACAATGGGAAAGAATCCAGTTCTTTAATATGTGCTTTAGAAGATCTTAAGAGCTACTTTTTTTGCCTGTCCCTGCATTTCTTCCCCACCCAACCCTCAGCAACATTGGAAATAAGCACTCTGGTCACCAAGGAGAGGGGGGCAGTGCTTGGCCAACAGGAGCTCCCTATTCATTCCTGGGTGTGTGGTAATTGGTCCAGAGGTGGTTTTATGATGCAAGAAAGGCCAGTCAAGGTTTTTCCCTTTACATAAGCCCTTTGGACTTAATATATGTAGGAAAGGGGCATGTGAACTACATAAATTAACTAAAGCCAAACAAAGTTAAGTCAGGGGGTTGCTACATGTTGCTTGACACAGAACTCAGCTGATTGGAGATGCAAGCAGACCAGGAGAAGCCTCCAGAACAAAGAAAATGTCTGCAAATATTGATTAATAGCTACTCATCCATAACTTATCATTTATTCATACCATAATACCATACAAGAGAAAGACAAGACCACAAAAATACACTTTATAGTTAAATAAATCCCTATATTTTTTTCACCCTCTAATTCCCCCTGCCAACAATTTTCCATAGAAACGACAAACAGATATAATCTCAACCTCTAGGGATGGTTCGAGTCCACCACTTTGTGGAGTAGCTTTTCTTGTTTGTCCTCTCTGCTCAATAAACTTGCTTTTGCTCTGACCTCCTGTCTGGCTCATATCTTGAATTCTTTCTTTCCTGTGCAAAGCCAAGGAAAGTTGGCTCAAGTCCCGACTTGGGATTCACCCTTCCAGTATCAGAACCGGCAGGCAGACCAATCACATCTCCCTGGGGACCTGAAGAAGACTTTCTGCTGAAGCTCAGCAAGGACAGGCTGACAGAAAGCTGTATGAAGGAGGGGAAAAGCCTGGTTGTATGGGGCTTCATTCTAGTCCCTGTGGCTCTGGACCCTCCACCTTTTCCTTTGAGCCTATGAACTACCCTCAGAACAATTGTCACCAAACTGGTTCTGTGACAGAATGGTTCTGTCCCAGGATGGTTTGGAACATCCAGGCTCTCGACTCATGCAAGAAAGAATTAAAAATCAAGTCCGAATAAGAATGAAAGCCAGTTTTATTTGAGTAGAAGAGAAGAGGCTAGGACGCCGGTTTCTGGAGACAGGATCAGGGCTGGAGCCATCTGCTGCCCCCTGGATGCAAGTCTTACAGGGCACCATGGTGAAAGACACAAAAGTACACCTCCTGGTAGAAGCAAACAAACTTGTGAGTGAAATGCGTGCCAGGCGAGTTAGTTCTTGTGTTTTTATGTGTTTTCAAGAGTGGGTTGTTTCTGAACTTTGTAGCACCAAAATCTGACTGACCTTCTATTTGGGAAGGGGTCTTTTCTTAACATGGTCTTCGGGAGTGTAATGGAGAGTCCCGCTCTACACCGCTTCTACTGTGGTGTCCGTTTTCATTATAATGATGATATAATGAGCTTTGGATCATTCTCTGGTCGATTTTCCTCCATCTTGGATTGATCCGGTTTTAGCCCATCCTTGTTGTTGTTGACTTTGAGCACCGCAGGAGTTTCCTGCCATTACTTCATTTTGATCATGTGTGAAGGGAGGGGCTCTGCTGAGAGGACCTAGTGGCTGATAGGCCTGTGATGTGCACCCCTACTTTCTCCTTCCACTTGTCGAGAATTTTCCCTAAATTCTTTCCATCCTGTCCACAATCAGGCTGCATATTACAATAGACTGCATCTTTTCCTGGGGCGGGTTTGTTTGGGTAGGAGGAAGAACCTGCCCACTACGGAGCAGGGGTGGTGAAAGGTGCTCTCCTCAGTTGTACAAAATGTGACATGACAAACCTTTGACCTTCCTGCAGTAAGAGTGAAGAGACCCCAGTGAAACTTTGGACATCAGGCCTCATTGCCTCCTCTTCTTTGAGCTATAGAAGCTTCCTATAGGTTGGAAGGAGATTTTCCTAAACTGAGGTTCTGATGGCCAGTAGTAAGGTGTGATGTCAGGGGAAGGAAAATTTGGGGAGAACATGTAGTAGGTAAAGGAAAAAACTGCTATTTAGAATTTTTAGAACCCTGAAATTTTTTTTCTTCATGGGATTTTTTTGGGTGACATTGTATCACAAAATTCCACAAGTTTCAAGTGCACAACTCAATAAAACTTCATTCCACACTGCATGGGGCACCCATCTCCCCAAGCAAAGTCTCTTACAGTTACCATTCCCCCTTTGCACACCTCCACCTACCCTCTACCCACCTTGTCCCCTGGCTAACACCACACTGTTGTCTGTGTCTATATATATTATTATATATACATTATATATAAATACAAAAAATATATATTGATTTTAGAGAGGGAGGAAGGGATAGGGAGAGAGAGAGAGAACCATCCATGAGAGAGAACATGGATTGACTGCCTTCTGCACGACCCTCACTAGAGATCGGGTCCACAACCTGGGCATGTGCCCTGACCAGGAATTGAACCGGTGACCTCTTGGTGCATGGGTTGATGTTCAACCACTGAACCACATGGGCCAGGTTACTTTTTTTTTCTTTTTGCTTAATCCCTTCTCCTTCTTTCTTTGAGCCGCCAATCCCCTCTCCTCTGACAGCTGTCAGTCTGTGCCATCGATCAGGGATTCACTAGTAAATAACAGAAAAATTCACTGCTGTCAAATCTATTTTTAAATACCAGAAGTGATAAGTTCTGCAAAGAAATCTTTCTTAGCTCTTAGTCAAGGAAGGCCTGTCTAAAAGGTAACTAAGACAGCATTTGAATGACAACAAGAAGAAAACTAGGAAAAATCTGGAGACAAAGTATTCCTGGGAGAGGAAATAGCTAATTGAAAGTTCTAAGACAGGAGATGTTCAGTATATGTGAAGAACAAAAAGAAGCTTGGTGTTGCTAGAAGGCAGTATAGTGTAGTGTAGTGCAGGGTTTTCCACCTGAACACTGCTGGCATTTGGGACTGGACAATTTAAAGAGGATGTAAAGTTATCACTAATTAGAGATAATATGAAATACTCTGAGATACTCACGGGAATCAACTAAAAAACAAGAAATGTGTAAGATCTATAGAAACAGAACTGTAAAATACTCCTGATGACAAAAGAAATTATGAACAAAATGAAAAGGCACATGTGTGACATAGAAAAACTTAATATCATAAAGGATTAAGTTCTCCACAGAAAATCTGTAGCTCTAGCATAATTCCAGTATAAATACCAACAGGGTTTTATCTTGCACTAGAGAAAGTGATTATCAAGTCATATGAAAATACAAGCAAATCAAGAACAGTAAGAAACACTCTGAAAAAACAAGAGTAATGAGGGGAGGTAGCCTATTGGTAATTAAAGCATATAAAATTTTAAGTAGTTATAGTAATGTGTTCCAGATTTAAGAATAGACAGTGATGTAATAGAATCCATTAATATAAACATGCACATGGCAACTCAATAACTAATAAAAGTGGTATCGCAAATCAAAGGGGAAATATTAAGAATTAAATAAATGCTATCAGGATAACTAGGTAGCCATTTGGAATATATAAATTGTATCTAAACTAACCCTTTAAGCAAGAATAAGTTCCAAATGGATCAATGATTTAAATGTATATATTAAAAACAAACAAACACCTTGAAACTACTAGAAAAAAATTATAAAAACTGAGAAAATTATATATGACAATGAAGTGTGGAAGATATTTCTAATTAAAATATAATATTTCATATCCATCTGGTGTGGCCAGTAGATGGAATGTACTGAGAGGTCTCAGTTCAATTCCCGGTCATGGCACATGCAAGAGGCAGCCAATTGATATTTCTCTCTCACATCAATGTTTTTATCTCTCTCTCTTCTTCTTCTCTCTCTCTCTCTCAAAAAATTAAAATACAATATCTTAAAGCTTTAAAAGAAAATAAGATTTAAAATGGTGACTATATAAAATTTTTCTTAAAAATTAAGGAAAATCAACTATAAGAAAAGTCAAAAGAAAAAAGACATACTAAAAAATAGATTTGCAACCTTATGACAAATGATCATTTTACACATTAAAAGCATGGATTAATCAATAAGATCAGCAACTCCAAATTTGGCAGGATAGTAAGAAGCTAGAAAAATTCCTGAACAAGTGGAATGCTGAAACTGAGACAAGAAAATTCAACAAGGCCAAGCAATTTGAAGGACTTAAAGCCAGCTTCTGAATTGCAAGACTTTATCTTCCCCAACCAAGAACGCTTGAGAGCAAACGGCTTATATCTCCCCTCCCTAACCCAAGAATATCTAGCTTAAATCACCCTAGTCGGGGAAAATAGGGAACAGAAACCCAGTTAATGCCATTTGTCCCAGCTAAACCCAAGGACAGATAAAGTCAGGGAAACAAATAATAAAAATCCTGATTAAAGCCAGACAGACCCAAGATAAAAAATAAAACAGTAAAGCAGACCAAAGAATAATCCAAAACCCCCCTATATGCTCATTTTAATGCAATAACATATTAAAAATGCACCCCGAAAACTGATGAATATTCTGCTGAAACCCTCCTCTGAGATTCTTTCCCACAGAAAGAAAAGAAAAAATTCCTCAAGACAAAGACCGAGTGTGGGCTCGCTCTACAGCAGGCTCATGTCCCTTCTCAGGTCCCCATGAGACTTGCCATCAGGGAAGCAGCGGGCAGCAGCAACTCATCCTGGTCTCACCCCCTGATCCTGTCTCTAAGGCCCCCTTTTCTCTCACTTCCCAGTGAGCTAAAAGCACCCCACCTTGGCTCACCGCTATCACTGTGACCTTGACTTCCCAGCGAGCTGACAGCAGCCAAGATTTGGCT